ACAATTGTGATAACCCTAATGCGGAACAGACGACGTCGTTTGTGAATAGAAAGAAAACGATCGTGCCATAAGGCTGGACAATGACGTCTCGTTCCAAAGTTTAGATGAGTGAAAAGGGAATATCTTAGAATGAAATGTTTTTTCATGTCACCTTGACTCAAACCGGCAAATGCTTAAAATAATTTCTCACTTTTATCTTTGACTAAGCTCCTACACATTGTAATTTGTTATATAAAATCCTAATAAGGTAGAGATAGATTTAATACCCTGTACAAACAGGTGAAAAAATATTTAGTTGGCGCCGATTTGGTGCGATAGAAAGCATATAATCATCTAATATCTGGCTTAGCCTGATAAATATTGTATGAAGACATGTGTAAGGGATCGATTAAAATTGTGGGGTGTCTGTAAACAGTTTAAAAATTTAAGTAGCATAATTAAGTGAAAATTGAGATTGTAACTATAACTTAAATATTACAAATGCATTTTATGTATACATTAAATATTGTGTAAATGATGAACAACTAAGATCTATATATATACATAAACTTATACATATATGTAAAGTACTTCGCAAGACAGGTGTTAACCTACATGCATAACTGAAACCTGTGTAACTAAGAAATAAAAAATAACCAAAAAATACCAACGAATTCTACATGGTTTCTTTTGGCAAGTATAAAAAGCGGGTCAGACGTAGCAATGAAATATATTTCGAAAAGGCTGTCAAATTGAGAAATTTTAGAAAGCAGTTGCTTAAGGTTTTTTATTTCCGAAAGGCGGATTGCATGGAAATTTCTGAAAGCGCTTTTAGCTGTTCACACAGCGATTGGATTTCTGGCAATTTTTAATTTCCGAAAAGTGACAGAAATATCTTTATGGCTGTTCTCACGTGGAAATAAAATTTCTTTCTGAATTTGACAGCGAATTACTAGGAAAAGTTGGCAATATTGCCACGTCTCACACGCTCTAAATTCTACAGTCTTTGCATAAAAGCAAGCACTTTACGGAACAACGGTGCTCATAAGCATACGTTCTCATGAACCAAAAATACAAGATCACGTAAGAACGCGACGTTGTATTTGTAACTGGTTTTGAGAAAAAAGTTTGCGAAAGCGGGTTCGTCAGCTGAGCGTTTGTTTACATCACAAGCACCACTATTTTACACTTTTATTTAAGTAAAGAAGAGTTAATTCAACATGACAACACATTTTCAAGCATTTTATTGCATCATTTTACCTAAATTGTGCGCTTAAAGTGGCTGACAATAATTCTGACTAATTTTGGTTTTCGTTGTTTCCTTTGCTTTGTTTACTTTTCGCTCGTTTATCACTCTCTTGTTCTTACGTGATCTTGTGTCTTTCGTTCATGTACGTTCTTTGTACTTTTGGGTACTTTATAGACATGATTAATAGCGCAATTTTTATGGCGCTAGCTCAATAACGCCGGGGCCACCTGTGGTGTCAGTGCAATAGCGCAGTATACTGATTTGAACACGGCGCCATCTAAGTGTCACCACACCACAAAGTACATGTAATTTTTCAAAGAATTAAGGCGAATTGTGTGTGTTCCTTGGTGTTAATGGCGCTAGCGCTATTCATATGATGGTGTTGGCGCAGCAGCTCCACCTACAGTATTAACGTAAGCGCTGCGTAGCGTAGTACTTTAATACTAAATTAGTGTGGCATCACTCAAAGTTGTGGATTCTATTTTTGACAAATAACACTGCTGGCAATGCTTGTTAACGATTTGCTTGAGCCAGTGTCGTGTGGATTAATTTTTATCGTGATATTTGGTAAATAGTTATTTTATTTAGGAAAGTCATTGAAAGATCTGTGAGATCAACATGAATTGATATACGATAACACTTGCAATGAATTTGGTGAAATTTAATAAGCAGAAAATCGCATTAGTGATATGATTAAATACGACATCGGAGATTTCTTTCGTTTTTCTTGTCTCGTTTTCGTTTGATTTTTCTCTACTCTATTTTTCCTCAGCGGCTGCGATTACACTTGTTTATGTATTCTGTGTAAATCACGAAATGAAATGAAGTTTATTTAGTATATTATTAAAATGTACTTTAAATAATATTTGCATTTTCGTCCTCAGGTTTGCTACGTTATAATCTTGTGTTTTTTTTAAATGTAAGTACTATATGTAGAGTTAAATTTATATACATACATTTATATATATCTACATACGTACATAGATTTGTACTCTTAAATATATACACAAAAAGTGGGCAGGGTAGATTGCGCAGTTCTCATCTCGAATAGTTTAATGAAGACAAAACCAGTCAGAATATGGAAAATAAGAAAAACATTGAAAGCTATTTTACTGGAAACCTAAAAAATGCATCACGGATCATATTCAGTGTCAGGATAATGAAAAGATTCAATATCGGGGTTAGGCAAAAATCGCGACAATGTGGTCGTTAAAGTAAAATAGGCAAAACAAATATCCTTATAGAAAACATTGCTTGTTTTGGGTGCGGAAAATTGCACTCGACTACATGCCAACCTTGTATAACGAACCTTGTTTCCTGAAATGTAAATAGAAGCAGGCGTATGCGTGTAAACTTCTACATAATCGTAGAAAGAAAAAATGAATCGTATGTAGTCCCTTCAAAGACCCGAAGAATAAATAGCATGCACAAACCCATCAAAAGCTGCCTATAACTATCGCATCATGACTACATGTTTTAGTCGTCAAACTGCCGGGCCTGTAAGTGGTAGTACACTTGAGGAGTAGACACCCAGAATATAATTTAGGTAGGCCTTCTTAAGTAAAGCCATTCTAAGAGGCCTACCCAAGAAGGGCTGAAAAAAGAGCTCCCTTTCATGCCTTCTAGAAGGGCTTATCCGTTTGCAATTTACGCGAATGCATTACAAATGAGTTTTAAGGCCATTAGTATTTAAATGCAAGTTTTTTTCAACATAAGAGCCTGTCAGATGTGGCAATGCAATATTTTTCAATATAGAGCTGTCAAATTGAAAAATTTCAGAAAGCAGTTGCATGAAAAGTGTTTCCCAATTGGAGTCACATCTTGCAACTTTTATTTCTGAGACTGATTTCGGAAATGTGACAGAAAGGTCTTTCTGGCTGTTCACACATCGAAATAAAATTTCTCTTTCTCAATTCGACAGCGAATTGCGTGGAAAAGTTATATATATATATGTATATATAGTTAGAAATATTGTCACGTGCGACATGCTCTTTAGGGAACGTACCCATACTACGTGACTCACTTTTTCGCATGCCCGGAAAAACCGACAACCCTAACGGCCTTGTCCCTGTGGACCAACCCTACAGAAGCTGCACGCTTCCTAGGGCTGCCGTTAGTGGAACTTGACGACAACGACTGAGATACCAACCGTCCTGGGCGGGGTTGTTGTAGCCGCTACAACAACAACAACAACAACCCACTTTTTCCAATTTTTGATCCCCTTCCCCCCTAGGTGACCACGCGTAGTATATTCCAATACCCAAACATCGAAAAAACGCTAGATTTCCTTATACTACGTAATAAAAACGGAAGCCCCGCCCCCACTGTGACCAAGGGTGGTATTTTGAAGATCCCCCGCTCCCCCCAGAACGGGTAACTTAGTATAATAGGTACGTTCCCATACATACTATATACATACAATTTTTGCGAGTAGGATAGACTTGCCGTCGAAATAAAACTTTCATTTGGGTATTAAGAAGAATTTAGTTTACCTCTACCATAATATGTTAAATTATCATTCCATTGGTCCTATTGGGGCGTGTCTAATTAAAAGGTGGATATGTCCACCATATGTACATTATTTTACAGGAAAAGAATTATGGGTGACTAGCAAAGTTTGAGTATTAAAAAAAAAACTCATCTGGAAAATAATTGTCAGCCAAAAAAGTGTACTGGAAGTTTTATTTAGACACTCGCCAACTATAAGTATGATTATTGTTTCAAGGATATCGCATCGAAATGCAGCCGAATAGTGAAGTCTGTAATTTAAGATTAGTGACCTTCAAATGCGCATTGTCTTCTAAATAGCCAAAACGACTAACTATCGACACATGTGAAATCTGTGATCATAAGTACAAGCCTAACATTAAGCATATTGTTCATTTGCTTTGTTTTTTGTTAAGAGATAAGTAGTTGCATTGACAACTGTAGCGCATCTGATTGCCTGATGTTCATCCATATTTGTCAATAGGCCCACTGCAGTGAGTAAAACGCGTTTACGATGTGCGCCTGGCACGCGAAGAGAGCAAATAAGAGAGATGCATGTGTTTCGTAGTAGCTTGTGTGGCCGTTGGTCCAACGCTCGCTTTTGATTTTAGTTTTCAATTGAATATTGTTGACAGTGGGACGTACACGCATTGCTTTTCACCTCTACCGTAAGCAGTTCCTGTTTTCTATCTTATAAAAATAAATTCCTTTATACCTGTAGATGTGTATGGATGTACATATGTATATGTTTATACCTTTGTCATTTAGGCGGGGTTTTTTTAAGACATGATTGTTAATGCATATCCCGTCTATATTTATATTGTGTTTCAGACTCTGCATTTTAGCAGCGTGCGCCGCGCAACAACATGGAAGATCCCAACCGTATGATGGCACATACTGGTGGCATGATGGCCCCACAAGCTTACGGTATGCCGGGCCAGGATGATGGCCAAAACGCTGGCAATGAAAACGAAGTCCGTAAGCAGAAGGATATTGGTGAAATTTTGCAGCAGATTATGAGCATTTCGGAGCAATCACTGGATGAGGCGCAGGCAAGAAAGCACACCTTAAACTGTCATCGCATGAAGCCTGCTTTGTTCTCGGTACTTTGTGAGATTAAGGAAAAAACCGGTAAGTAACACACAACAACACAAATCATTTCGTGTTCTGTTTTTATTATTAGTGATTCTGCCAATAAATATGTATTTGCCCAATGTTGTCGCTAACTTCTGCTCTTGTCACCTTTTGCGAGTATTTTTCGAGAACAAATGTAATAAACATAAGTAGAAAGTTTGCTGTGTGATAAAAACAATAAAATGCCAGGCACGTTCCAACGCTCGGCATCATAATACCCTCCAGATTTCTTTAATATTTCATGCCGCAACCTCCGTTCTTCGCCGTGTTGCGCAGCTCTTGTTCCTTTGTTGCAATATTACATACAAAATTGAATATGCGAGTAATGGGAGCGCAACATATGTTTTGAATGGGGCAAGTCCGGCACCACCGTTACATTCTAACAATTGTTTTGGGGCGGTAGACGTTGACAATTTTCTTATACTGATGTTTTGAAAAGGGTAGCGGAATGTTAAGGTGGCTGGATACACGACGATACCTATTACTATACACTGCGAGTAAAGCCTGACCAATTGCGTTAAAATATCAATCGTAAAAAATGCACTGAAACGAATCTATAAATACGCTTTTGTTTACCAAAAGCCTTTCGATCTTGTGTAAAAATTTTGAACTAAATTGAACTTTGAAATCGGCTCATAAAACTATATGTATATATGTACATATAGTAACTCAAACAATGTTTACATGTTGATTTTTTTTTAATATTCACAACGTTTTTCAAGTTTATTTTTATTTTTTTGTTATATTTCTATAAATTCTATATAAACCAAAACCAAAAAATTAAAGTTTCAAACTCTATACAAAACTTAAGAAAATTCAACAAATTTTCATGCAAATTTCGAGCACTATAATCTCAATTTTGAGAACATTTCTGGGCAGGTAGTTTTATAGCCCATAAAACTTTAGAAGTGCAAGTTTCAAGCGGCTGAAAATCGCGTTGCTGACGGATTTTCGCACTTTTTTCCATATAAGCACGAATTTCAACGCCAGTTTTTGTGAATGGAACTTGTTATATAAAAAACCGCAAAACAGTCACAAAAAAAAACTCCAAAAAATCAACAGGATTTTTTTATGAAAGTTTGTTGAATTTTCGTATATGTATTTTGTATAAAGTTTGAAACTTCAATTGACAATGGCGCTCACGTAAATAGCACAAATTTTTTACTTTTTACAATATTCACAATGTTTTACGTGATACTTTTTTTGTTAGTTTTTTATAAAAAATATTGTAGAGTCTATAATATAATCCATTTAATTCTGTGCACAATTCAGGAAAATTTAATAGATCTCTAAAAAATGTCATCAAAATATGCAGTTTTGTAGGCTGTTGAATTTTAGTCTAAAAATGTGCAAGATAGACTACAAAACTGCATACCCAATGTCTAAAAATTCTGAAAAAAGTGAACATTTTGATGAAATTTTTTTGAACTTGTTACATTTTCCTGAACTGTGCAATCTTTGACTTATATCGTTTATGTTATATAATCTGCTAAATTTTTATTTAAAAAAAATTCCGAAAAAAATTATCACGTACAACGTGAATATTGTAAAAAATAAATGTGTGCTATTTACATACGTGAGCGCCACTGTATATGGTTTTGGTTAAAGCTTGACCATATTTTTATAGAAAAAAAATTTTGTTGAAAAAAATTCTGAATATTTAAAGAAAAATCTAAACGTGAACACTTGTTTGAGGCACTCCTCACTTTACCTGCCTTAAAAAAACTATGACTAAATTAGGTGATTTTATTCATTGACATTTTCTGTTTAAGGTCATATAGGTACTATGTAGTGAGCAAAGATTTTTTTACGTGTATTTAAGGGCATATTTTCCCTTACAAGCTCCATCTTCCGTGCAACAAAATGTGTGCTTTCACATTCAGTTTTCGTTGGTATTTTCTTGTTACGATTACGCTTGGCAAAATCTTTGAATCTTTTAGCTGTGCACATCCGCTCACTCTACCTTTGTCTATATGGCGTTCTTTTATAAAGTCTGTGAACCTGCGCGTCAATTTATATTTTCATGTGCATACATACATGTGTATGTATGTACATTAGAGTGATCCAAAAAAAATAAAGTCGGAGTTTTAATGCCGGCACACCCTAGGATTGATCTATATTGAAAAAATATACCCCTATTTTTTATTTTGAAATCAAAAAATATTTAGGGAGTGCTCAAAGCGCTCAAAGTTTCATGTGCATACATAC